TGTTGAGTTCGTTTGAAAGATAGTGGATCCGCCTCGGTTATAGATAAATAATCCAACAACCGCTTGCTCTTTAATAACTATTTATTCGACTTAGCTATTAACAAAATTTTACTTATATTCTATGTTCGAATTTGTGGTATTTTTTTGTACATATATTTTTGCTTGTACCAGTTGTTCTGTCCGCCAAGAAGAGAAAAAAAGGCGCGCGAACTCTCAAATCAATCGCGAATGTCAAACCAAAACAGAAAGAGTGTTAACTGGGTTGCCATCCGCCCTGAACCAAATTAAGGTGACCAGCTCCAACATCCTGCCCGACGATGATGTTCACTCGGATATCATCCTCCTCCTACTGCAGCAAATTTGAAGACGGAATCTGTAACAGAGGAAAGCTAGTGCTAGCGATATTAATGTGCGGCGTTAGTTACTGGATTCCAGTTATCCTGTATAGGCAACGGACAAATTTTTACCGTCGGGCGTTTCACGATCCCATTTTGAGTTTTCACAGAAACAACTCGTACGAGCTTATCCGTTCCTGGATGAAGTTCAATTATTTTTGCAAGTGGCCATCGGTTACACGGATACCTCTCATCCTTAATCAAAACTATGTCACCGATCTTTAGGTTAGGGTTTGTTGTTAACCATTTAGGACACTTTTGCAAGCGCGACAAATACTCGGTACTCCATTGTTTCCAAAATGAATGTACTAAATTTTGCCCATGTTTCCACTGCTCTTCGAGACTCAGACTGTTTGTTTCGACAGATGGCAAAGCCTGTAAGGAATCCCCCACCAAAAAGTGTCCAGGTGTAAGTACCATTAAATCATCGACGTCGCTTGTTAATGGACATAGCGGTCTCGAATTTAAACAAGCTTCGATTTGCGGTAAAACGGTATTGAATTCCTCGTAGGTCAGCTTCTGTTCGCCGATGGTTCGTTTCAGGTGGTATTTTACCGATTTCACTCCGGCCTCCCATAACCCCCCGAAATGGGGAGAGGACGGTGGTATGAAGTGCCAATGAACTTCCCTTTCGGTCAAGTGCGGAAAAATCTTATTCTTTATGAAATGCTGATATGATGTCCGATCTGCTTGAAGTTTTCGGTTCGCTCCAATGAAATTGGTTCCACAATCACTGTAGATATTCTTACACAAGCCCCTTCTGGCAATAAAGAGATTCAAGGCGGCGATAAATGCTTCTGCTGAAAGATCTCCTACAAGCTCCAAATGCATTGCTTTAGTTGCCAGGCAAATGAATAAAGAAATATAACCCTTTACCGAGACGCGTCCTCTTCCTTTCGAAGGCAGTATGTTAAAAGGACCAGCGTAATCGACTCCCACGTTCGAAAAGGCACGAGCTGGGCGAATTCTCTCCGACGGAAGATTCCCCATTTGCTGTGCACACGGCCTCGGATTGTACTTAAAGCAATTTATATACTTATGTATTATAGACCGAACCGCGTTACGCCCATTCAAAATCCAAAATCTTCTACGGACGTGATTCAAGGTTAGGGAAACGCCTCCGTGCAAGGTGCTCAGATGGCTATGTTTAATGATCAACTCAGTTAAATGGTGCTGGTATGGTAAAACAAAGGGATGCCTTTGATCCAACGGTAAGAGTGCTTCCCTTAATCGTCCTCCGAGCCGTATTATCCTTTGCCTTTCATCGAAATACGGATTGAGAGAAGAAAGTCTACTGTTATTCGGTAGTGTTCGCTGTCTCAAAAGTGAGTGCCAATATTCCGGAAAGGCTTCACGCTGTACCATTCCTACTATGCATATAAGACTGCGCTGTAACCCAGTAGTTGATAATGAGCCCGTTTTGCGAAGCCCCAGCTTCGGTCGACAATTTTTTCCAAATGTAATGCAGTACGCTGTTACTCGCACAGTCAATGAAAGTGAGCTCCATTGGTCTAACGATAAAATTTCGCTCGTAGGATCTTTAATACTCAAATGAATTTTCATGCTCCTTTTCTCGATGCTAACACTTGATTGCGAAACATCAGTATTAAATGGGGACTTCGGCCATTCTAGGGGCGGTAGCTGCAGAAATGAAGGGCCACGCCACCATAAGTCGCAATGAACGAGTCGTGATGGACTTATTCCACGACTTGATATATCTGCGGGATTGTTTTCTGATGCTACATAATGCCACTGACAGACTGATGTGTTTTTTAATATTTTATTAATTCGGTTCGATACGAAGATTTTCCATCTACTTGGGTCCCCCCGGATCCAATGCAGGACGATTGACGAGTCAGTCCACATGAAAATATTAGAGTGTTCAATTGCAATAGAGAAGTTAGTGATAATTATACTTAATAGCTTAGAAGCCAGAACGGCTCCACATAACTCGGCGCGCGGAATGGTAATCTTGGGGTTAACCTTACATTTCGCGGAGAGGATATTGATCAGTACCTTTCCGGTTTCGTTTGATCCTCGAAGGTAGGCCACAGCTGAGTGGGCGTGAACGGATGCGTCGCAAAATATGTGTAGCTCACAACCCTTTCTCTGATCGATCGCTAACCAACGTGGAACCTTAATTTGCGATATTTGGTGAAAACCTTCTCCGAATGTTGTCCAGCCTCTTCGAAGTTCTGGGGGTAATGTCGCATCCCAGCTACTTCGATTGCGCTACAACTCCTGCAAGATAAGCTTCGCTGATATAATGACCGGATTCAACCAACCGAGTGGGTCAAATAAGCGGGCGATGTTAGACAAGACGGTGCGCTTGGTTGGATTTTCAGTCTCAAACTGGAAATTAGCCTTAAATTCGATTTCGTCGGTAATGGGGTCCCAGTATAGTCCCAATGCCTTAATTGGATCTGTCGGTTTGAATTGCATCTTACTTTTTGACTGCCTGTGCTCCGCCGGTATGCCACTCAGCAGAGTTGGATGATTACTCGCCCACTTGCGTAGTTCAAAGGTAGCAGTTCGCAAAGTCGATATTGTTTCGTCTCGTACACGCAACGCAAGTTCTAAAGAGTCTCCACCGGAAAGTATGTCATCGACATACATTTGTTGCTTAAGTACCTTAGCCGCCAAAGGAAAACGTTCCGCTTCGTCCTGAGCCAGTTGATTTATTGTACGAATTGCCGTATATGGTGCGGATGCGGTCCCAAACATCACTGTCGAGCAATAATATTCCTGAATCGGTTCACCTGGTCTTTCTCGCCATAAAATGCGTTGGTACTGCGCATCTTCTTCATTAACGTCGATACACCGAAACATTTTCTCTATGTCTGCTATGAATACATATTTCATAGTACGCCAATTTGAAAGGATCGCGGACAAATCCTGCTGAAGTGCCGGACCCGTTGCTAGGATGTCATTTAATGATTTCCCGTTAGTGGTTTTCATAGAGGCATCGAACACGATTCGGACTTTCGTACTTGCTGCATCCATCTTTACTACCGGATGATGAGGGAGATAACAACATGTAAAACGATCCTCACCTGCGCCACCCGTTGAACAATGTTGGTCTTCAGTATATCTCACCGGTTTCATTTGCTTCAGTCGCAAATATTCGTTAATCGTATCGATATAAATTTTGCTTAAATCAGCATCTTTCGATAACCGACCTTCCAAATGGAGAAAACGTTTGAGCGCTGAGCTTCTGGATTTCCCGATAAAGCATGAGGTATCAATTTCAGACATCAGCGGCAAACGAACAACGTACTTCCCGCTTTGCAGTCTTTTGTGAGTGCTTTGATATAGGACCTCACACCAATTATCTTCAGTAGTAAGGGCGCGTGATTCACCCATCTCCTCTAGCTCCCAGAACTTCCTTAATAAACTGTCGACCTCCATTTCCGTATTCGTAGACGAAAATGATACACTTTTCGGAGATTGCGAGCCCGTGGCATTTTTTCCCGATATGATATAACCAAACGTGGTCTCTTGCGCTATAGGGAATCCACTGCCTGCCCGACGAACATCACTTAAGATGCACTCATCATAAATGTCGTTTCCTAAGAGCACATCTACGGGTTGCGGCTCGAAGTACCTTGGGTCAGCGAGACGTATGCCATCCAAATGATCAAAATTAGTCACCAGATTTCGCGATGGTAGTACACCACCAACCTTGGGTAAAACGTAAGCCACAGTTTGATACTGTATTTGGGAGTCTATTCTGGAACCTATTGTTATGTGCACGCAGAAACGGCCTTTGGTCACTTTGCTTCCTGATAATCCGATCACTTCGATATGGGCCTTCTCACAAGGAAGACCGAGAACCTGTACTGCTCTTTCCGACAGAAATGTAGCCTGGGACCCTTGATCCATTAGCGCTCTGAAATCACAAGGCTGACCGGTAGCTGATTTTATGCAAATAACCGCAGTAGGTAATAACACATCAAATCTCATTCGAGGGATTGGTTGGCTGGGAATATCACTCATCTCCGGTGTGGCAGCCACATGTAAAGCGGCTACTGCTGTGGGAACTGTGGCGGTAGGTGCAGATGCTGACACTTCTCGTTCTACATGGATCAGGGTATGATGCCGGCCACCACATGTCCCACAATTACGACGGCTACTGCATTTTGCGGACGGATGATTATATCCAAGACAATTAAAACAAAGTTTATACCTTTCCACGGCAGCTCTTTTATCGACGACGTTCATTTCTAGGAATTTCGCGCATTCCCTTACTGGATGATCCGATTTTTCGCATATGGGACAAACAACAGTCTTCTTCGCGACATGCATTGACTTAACTTGCTTCTTGCCGTACGGTGCCAAACCTTCTACTTTACGCTGAGAAGAGGTAATAGACTGCGCTTGCTTTGCGCCTGTTCGTGATGATGTGACCATCATGAGGTACTGCTCATCTAGAAGCGAACACAATTCAGAAAAGGTTGGAATACTAGTTTGTTTTCTTAACGAGCGATCCCACTCGGTGCGCAATGAGTTCGGCAGCTTCTTCACCATATAATATACAAGAATTTGATTTTGCTCCATTACGTTTATTCCCAGCTTCGCGATTGAATTTACACAAGATCTGCACGTTTGAGTAAAATGCTTTAACGACGCAGCATTTTCTCTAATCTCATCTGACTGCTGATCCAAGACATCCATGTAATGGATGAACAATATACGCTTATTATCGTACTGTTTACACAACATTTCCCATGCTTCTTCATAGTTCTCTCCAATAAGACTGACGTGCTCTATGTCTTGTGCTGCAATGTCGGTAAGAGCGGATTTGAGGTAATGAAAACGTTGCAGATTGTTCAAACTCTTATTTTGGTGAACTCGATCCAAAAATATTTCTTTGAACCCTGGCCAATCGATATATTTGCCACTAAAGGGGGTTAATTTAACTTCAGGTAGAGGTACTCCGTTTGACGCCAAAATAGTAGTGCTATTGTTTAAAGTAGGGGCTCGCCCAACTTCCGATGCAGCTGGGATGCACTTTTCTCGAAGAGAGTCCCGTATGCAGACTACTACGTCTAGATATGTCTCTTCAAACTGTTCACAAATCCCAGCGTCCACGTATGACTTGCGTATTTCAGCATTATTTGATTGGCGAACCAAGATACGATGATTGGCACGGAACTCTGTGCGGTATGAAGCCAAAGACTCCAAACGTGCATGGTGATAAGACTCAGTTTTACGTGACGATGAGTATTTCTTAAAGTTTCGCAAAGTTGTTTGTATTGACTGCATAAGAGCCTTTTGCTCTTCCACCAGCTCAATTGCGCTAAGATCAGTGTCTTTTTCCGCCATACTCAACCTAACCAGCACAAGAATATCAAAGCACTTACCTCGTGTTACAGGTTATGCGAAGTTGGATACCCGAATAGCCGCTGCAGATCCTCACAGGAGGCACCAATGTTGAGTTCGTTTGAAAGATAGTGGATCCGCCTCGGTTATAGATAA